AACACGATGCCTGAAGATTAATTTGGGGTTATGAATATGCTAGGTGTGCAATGAATGATATTCTCCTTCCAAAGAAATAGGGGAGGGTCTCAGCACCACCCATCCCCACCTCTATGCAGACCAGGCTTGCACCAAACCAGGGTCAAAATGCTCAGTCTTTAGCCCAGGAGGTGAGGAGCCTCTGAGCCCCAAACTCAGTCCTCAAGGTTGTTCATGGAGCAGGAAGCCCAGGAGCTGAGTCCCAGGGAGGGAACTTACCTAGTGAGACCAGGTTCCCATAGGTCTCCAGCATCACATCCCTGTACAGGCCCCTCTGAGTGGGCCCCAGATGGCCCCATTCCTCCTGGGAGAGGAACACAGCCACATCTTCAAAGGAAACCAAGACCTGGAATGAAAAGATCTTGCTGCAACCCCAGGGTCAGGCCCATGCTGAGCCCTGGGGGAGAGGGTCCTAGGCTCAGGACTGGTAAATTCCTGAGTACATGCACTTGTCTTCCCCACTAGAGTGAGCTGGCAGGCATCACACTAGCTTGTCTTGGTGCTCCTGACCCTTTCCTCTACTGTGCCTGGGAAGACACAGTGGGGACTACATTTCAGGAACTTGAACTCAGGGGCTAAGGACATCGGTGGAAATAAGGAGCTGTCTACCCTCGAGGACCAGCCCCTCATAGATAGAACTGTGGCAAGACTCCCACCAAGAAAGGGCTGAGACCACAGGGAGAGTCTCCATAGGACCACTCACCTGGAGCCCGCCAGGAAGGAGTTGCTTGACAGCCATCACTAGGTCTCTGAGCTTGTCCTGAGAAGGTAGGCAGTGCTGCAGGGAAAGGGAAAAGTGGCCTCTGAGATTATATCCTTTCCCTAATTCCCCACCCCACCCCTCCACACCTCCGGAGTAAGGCCTCTCTGAAGCCCCCAGTATGACAACATCCCAAGGCTACCAAATGAAAGCCAGGACCTAGACAGTGCACTTGGCCAGGGGAGACAATGGGATGCATCTCAGGCCCACCTATGAGGTCCTGGGCAGAGGATAAACAGCTGAGGACAACAGATTGGCTGCTGCTCTAAGGCAGGGCACAAATGAAATGGGAAAGTTGACACATATATGTGACACAGACACAATGCCTATGTCAGATGATGACAAAGGATAGAAAGAACAGAAGGCAGCCATTGGTGGTAGACATTTTACACTGGACAGCAAGGGAAGATGCTTCTGACAAAGCAATATCAAATCAGAGATCTGGATGGGGTGAAGATGGGCACCATGTGGACCTCAGCAAGGTACACCCCAGGCGAGGGGAGCACAAGTGCAAAGGTCCTGAGGTACAAGCCCACTTGTGTTCACAGAAGGGCAAGGAAACCAGGGGGGCTGAGGCAGAGTGGGGACAGTGAGAGAAGAGGGTGGGTACCTTCTAAGAAAGTCTAGAGAGAGTGATATGACCTGAAATGAGGCCTCTCCAGCTGCTGCTTCGAGAACAGACTGGGGGGCAGCAGGGGAGAGGGACGGGGGGAGGGAAGAGAAATAGGAAAAACAGTTGGAAGTTTCTAGCAATAATCCAGCTAGGATGACAGTCTTAGACCAGACTGGTCGTGACAGAGGTGAAAAGAAGTGGTCAGATTTTGGATGCATTTCAAAGTCAATAGGATTTGCCAATGAATTACATATAGAATGAGACAACAAGATTTTTGGCCTGAGCAATTGAAATGATGAAATTTCCATTTACTCAGATTAGTAAGACTGTAGGAGGGTCTGAAGGGTAAAATTTTAAAGTGGTTTTGTACATGTTATGTTTAAGATACCTATTAGACTTGCAAGTGGAGAATTAGGGCATTTGGATATACACGTCCGAAATTCAGGAGAGAGGTTGAGAGTCCCTAGGTACACACTGTGAACTGTCAATATACGTACGACATTTAAAACGACTGACCTGGTTTTATTCCAGCGCTGACAGGTGACATCAGGTGTCACTCCCAGAAAAATCTTACCAACTGGTCTCTGCATACACAGCCAGTCACCTCCCCACAACATCCTCCATGAAAACAGACCCCTTAGTTTAACCAAAGAAGAAACGTGTCCTTTTCCCGTGACCAGATCCTCTGGCCCTAGGTGACTGCAAGGCCCAGTCCTGGTCAATAAGATGTTACGGGAAGTTCGCCAAGAGGCTTCTAGGAAGGACTTTTCCTCTCTCATGATAGAAAGGAAAACAAGGAGAAACACCTCGTCTGGAGCAAACAGGAAGGAAAGCCAAGAGAATCCTGAAGACATATTCTAGGGCCCTGATGTCCCATCCTCATCACTTAAGCCTCTGTTGGATGGACATTCTCTGACTGGCAGCTGAACTCAAGCTTACTGAGGCACAGTCCACTGGATTCATCACTCCAGGATCTTCACAGACTCTCCAGCTGGACACACCTGGGTCAAAGGCAGCCTCCTAGTTCTCAAACAGGGCTTTCCTTTGACTGGCCCCCTCCTGCTCACACCCTTTGTGTACCACCAGTGGTCCTTCTTAATGTCTTCTGCCTTTACACCCAGACTCATTTGGGGCGCATGTAACACCGCTGTTAGGAGTGTAGGCTCTGAACACCAACAGGACTGTGTTCCAATCTTGGATACACCGCCTACTAACGCAGAAGTCTCAGATAAGTGACTTGAGTTGCTTCACATATCATAAAAGGAGACTAGCATTACTACCTTAAGTGACTATTTTGAGAAATAAGTGAGAATATGTAGAAAGTACTCAGCATAGTGCTTGCAAACCGCAAACAAAAAATACTAAGTCTTAATTATTATCAATAAGTCAATGTTTATTGAGTGCCTACTGAATGAATGCTGGGCTTGTTCTAGCGGATGTGTGGGATGTCATCCTGCCTTTTCCCTTCCCTCTCCTCCTCCTCCAGCAATCGAGACCCCTTCACTGCACAGCTCTACCCTTTCACTTAATCTACTCCTGCTAAGTGAAATGTACTTTTCTCTCTTCTGAAAAAAAAAAAGCACAATTTGGCTTATCCTCCTGACGATCCCCAAACTCCCTTCCTCTGTGAGGCCATTTTATCCATCCGGGTGCCCTGCCTCAGTGTTCCCCGGGAGCGTGAACCACCATAAGAGTGCGGGGACCTGCAAGCCTCACCGTCTCCGTACGGGCCTCACATTGCCCGCGCCCTGCCCGCCCCTCAACCAACCAAAGTGGGCGCTCGACGCTCCGATGCCGCCCTCGGCGCGTCCTCCCCGGCTCACCGAGGCTGCGGAGCGCGTCCTTTGGCCCCTCTGAGCCCCGGCACCATCCCCACCCGCCCCAGCGCCGCTCCGGCACATCCGCGCCAGGCGCCCCGGCCCGAGACTCACTCTGCTGGGCCACGGAGGGGAAGAAAAGAGAGCGCCAGTGCCCCAGCAGCTGAAAGCCAGACCCCACCCCCCGACAGGAAACGGCTGGTCTGAAATTCCGCCCTGCCCTTCAGCTCACCAGCCAATCGAATCCCAAGGTTCTGTAGGTCTGCTCTAGGCGGCTCGGAGTACTCTATGCTCTGGCGGCCCAGCTCTTCAGTGCCTGTACCAGCTGTCCGGCTGGACCCGCGGGCGAGAGGGCGCAGACGTTCCGCAGAGGCATTGTGGCTGGGGAAGGGGAGAGTGGACGCTCCCCGGCCCGGGTCTCCCCTCTGAGGCTCTGGACCCCGCCCTTCCTGTCCTAGGAAGTATCGCCGCCCAATATCGTTTCTCGGGCGCCTTTTCGTCCAGCTCCGAGTAGCAATAAACCTAAGAATTCACCTCGCGTCTGTGTGCTTAGCACTCATCGTATTCTCACGTATTAAGCTTCTCATGTATTAAATTACTTAACTTACTGAAGGGCTTCTGTCCTCACTATAAATGAGGAAAACGAGGCACATAGAGGTACAATACCTATTCCGGTGGAGCTGGAGTTTGAAAACTAACCACCTGCTGCTGAGATGCATTTGCAGGAAGGCAGGGCAGTGTCGTATAGGCCAGGGGTGTGGTGAGATAGGGGGAGATAGGGGGAGAAGTCCGATGAGGCTCAGGCAGGTGTAAAAGAAAACCAAAATCTAAGGGGCAATCCCCCCAACTCCTTATGCAAAAGAGAAGGTAAAGACCTCAGGCACCGTGAAGAACAGGCCCCACAGATCATTCATTAAGGAAATTCCTTGCTGACCTCCCATAAAGAAGAACATGCAAACTGTAACTATGTCTAACACCGGAAAACCAAAGCCTGTTGTGATACACACTAATAATGAATTACAAGTTTATCTTTACAGAACTGGAGACAAGACAGAATCGGACATTTTTTCACCTACCCAGGGACATCTACATAATTGATTCTTCCTTCACTCCCTTTTTCTAACATTCCCCTTCTTTTATGTAAAATGCAGATTCCCTGCGCCTCACAAGAATGTAACCTTCGCTTCATCAGCGCACCCTACCCTTTTCCTTTCTGTGTGCCTTTAAATGCTGAAGCTCTCAAATTCCCCTTAGAAAAAACAGCCACAGGTCTGCTTGTGGTTTGTATTTCCCCTCCACGTCCTCAGTTTGGCTTAATAAACCTCCATTGATTGAGATTTTTGCCTCAGTCACTTATCTGGGTCAACATCGGTAAGGAATGTGGGCCAGGTGAAGGCTGGCCCACTGAGAGAATGGTAGGATTAGGAGACAAATCAAAGAAGAAACAGAGGGCGGGAGGACCCACCACAAGAGTGGAAAGGAAAGCAGGTAGCTTGTCTTCAGCGGGACAGTGGTGTTAATTTAAAAAAACAAACAAATCCGAGGTTTATATTTTTTAAAAAACGAAAGCTTTATTTCTTGTGAAGGGGTCTTAACCTGCAGCAGTCATTATGACAAGCAGGGAAACACTACTCTGTTCACAAGCCAGGAGCATATGTTTCAAGGGAGTGACAAAAAGGAACAGGATACTGAGTGGTGTTACAGCTCAGCTGGGTCCCTTGCCCACCAGCCAGTGAAGGCCAATATAATGAGACAGCAGGGGTTGCAGCAGAGAAAGAGTTTTATTTTGCAAGGCACCAAGCAAGGAGATGGGAGTAATTTCTCAAATCCATATCCTCGAGAATTTGGGGGCTAAGGCATTTAAAGGTGGTTTGGCAAACAAAGAGCTGGGGAATTGAGTCTGCTGATCGGTGGGAGATGAACTCGATTGGTAGGGGATGAACTCTTAGGGTTGAAATGCAGAAATTATCTTCTTAGTTGGGAGATTTCCTGGGTAGGGGATTTCAGGGCTATTAGGTCTCTTCCCACACCTGTCCATGGGTCTGGTTGGCGTCAGTAGGTCCCCAGAATATAGAGTCTGAAAAACACCTCAAAAACCGGTCTTAACATTTACAACAGCAATATTATCCATAGACTCACAATATTGGGATTTACAACTGCAGTGTTTTCTATACAAGTAGTGGGGGTGTTACCAGCAACTGATTGTCCTTAGTCCTTGTATTTAGAGACAAAGAATTGAAACCAAACACCAAAGCAGCAAAGCAAAGTGAAAGAACTTTATTAAGCAAGTATACCTCCAGACCTGGAGGCGAGTATCAAGAAACATTAGCAAGCAATATTACACTCCAGAAGCGGGCAGGAGCGGGCATGTGTCCAAGCAGACAGTGGCACTGGGGTCTCTTCCAGGTCTCTTTCTCTTTCTTCTGACTTCCTCATTCTTGTGCTGCTGTCCCACTGGCCATTGAAAATTTTGTCTCCTCCCATCCATCAGGCAGGGGAGTTTTTTACTTTATTTGTTCAGACCTATATGTGTCATGGCTCCCAAAACCCATTGGGGGGCAATC